ACACACACACACACACACACACACACACACACACACACACACACACACACACACACACACACACACGCATCCCCGCGCGCGCGTGACAAACACGGACTTTAAACATGAAGGTTTATTACATTCACACTGGCGAGGTGGATGCGCCCTGCGCGTGTATCTAAAGCGTGACTTTTGCTGTCCTGCTGTTCTTGTCGTGGAGGGGTCTGTGGGTCAGGGAGGGGTCTGTGGATCAGAGTCGTCTGAGGAGGAAGCAGATGAATGGAGTTGTGCACGGGAACTTTTATTTAAGATTTAAGTTTTTTTTATTTCAAAGGTCCTCATGTCTCAGCAGCAGTAGAAGCATAAATATTACTGTTAAGAAAGCTGATGATAAAGCTGAATAAAAATCTAAGTCTGATGAAGGTAAATTAAATATCTGACAGTGATCATGATGCAGTGTGGCTCTAATTCCTCACTTCACCATCTGTGTCGCAGTTTCACGTCTCCGAAATGAGCGTACGCATGGGTCAAAGCTGGCGTGAGGCACCGCACATTTTCACATCAAGTTTGGTTTTTATAAATCACAACCTTGGCGTAAAAAGTGGCGTACGCAAGTTTCTGGGCTCAAATTGTGCGTACGCCAGTTTTATAAATCCGACCCCAGACACTTGTACGAAGCAAAGTGAAGGACAGGGTCTGTTTTAAACCAGGCTATATAAATGATAACTCAAACTCTGTAAATTTGACTGAATTATAGACTTTTTTTGTGTTGGCTAATGTGATTAGTTGTGGCTGTAATTTGGAATCAGATCAACTTCAAAGGTAAACCATCAGTAGATGTACATCCAGTCAATACTTTCAGAAAGATTCATAAAAATTTATCTATGGTTCAAGAAATGTTTTGCTAACAAACATGGCTGACTGCATTATTTAACATTAAGCTTTAAAGTAAAGATGTCACACTATGAGCAGAATTTAAGTAGGTAGTGAATGAGTTTCAGCTACTGCCATACCACAAAAAATGGCACAAAAAACTAAAAAATTGACAGAGTTTTAAACATTTTTGTTTTTTAAGGTCAGTAGTTCTGGTGGCCATCTTGAATTAGCCTGGCTTCTGATGTTAATCAAAAGATGTACATTCACCAAACACTTCCTGAATGTTTTGCTAACAGACAGATTTGATTCCAAAAAGCTAATGGCAAAAATTTTAAACAAAAATTTGTTCAGAATAAAGGATGGTCAATTTGCAGACAAATATCTTTAAACTTTTATTGTCATTGTACAGAGCACAATGAAATTACACTTCAGAAGTTTACGTTAAGTGTTTGCAACAACTAATTTTTGTTTTTAGGGTTGATTGTGGCAGACAACTTGAATCAAGTTGCTTTCAAAATTTAACTAGTTATTAATTTATTGTGATTTAATACAATGGTTATTTTCTAAAATTTTCATTAAAATGCATCAGGTGTTCAAGAAATATCTGCTGACAAACAGACTGAAACATTTGTTTCTTGTGATGTTTTGCTAATAGTACAGACAAAGACACACAGGTCAAAACCAGCTATCCACCTTTATTTTTTAGATATATTAAATTTAAACAACTGAAACGGTCTTCTTACAGATGTATGAAGGGTCTTTATGAATGCAGACACACAGATGAATTTGAAACTATAAGCAGTCTTCGTGCAGAGCAGACAGGTTGGGGGCAGTGTTTCCTCCAGAGCTAGTTTGTCTTCTAAGACGAACACAAATGTCATTATTATATGCATGAAGGCAGACGGAGGCAGCACATGGAAATTGCCTTGTATATTCAGGATACTTACTATATATCCAGAATAGTTGAGTTACTGAGCAGCAGGTCAGACTGAGGGGAAAACAAAATGCTGCATATAAACACAAGAAATGGGACAGCTTAGTTTGCAAAGCTTGGTGGATTTATTTAAATAAACATGTTCAGTGTTTCAATTCAAATGGTTCTGAAAGATTTCATCTTAAAGCTGACACACAGGTTGTATTTTGATTTTAATCATCCTTTTTTTATTTTTCCACTTCAGTAGAAAACAAAACAGAATTTTGAAATTCAGAATTTTAAAATTTGAAATTCTGAATTTTAAGAAACTGAAGTTTCTTAATTTCCGCATCATCAGTGGCTTTTTTTAAATACTATAGTAAGGAAGAAAAAGAAAAAGTAGAAGAGAAATATAAGAACAGTAAAGAGAGAAACCAATGGAAATTATACAACATGTGAAATGAACACCTACGTATAACACACAGGACACCACACCCAACGTCTGACCATCAGCAACCAAACTTAAACAGATGTATGTACATATACCCATGCGC